ACAGATACTTGACTTTTTATCACACATTATTTATAATGTTTGTCTGAATTCTCTGGGTGAAAACCCAGTTTTGATGAAGTGGTATTAGCACTGAATTTATAGGTAATCTTGTTATTGGCAAATGAAGTGTGTCACTGATGATATAATTCAATATTCTTCTATCAAAAAATATATGAATGCTGTAAATTTTCATTCCATTATTGTGAGAAAATGCAGAAAAATTGTGAAAACCCTGGTGAACCGTAAAAACTTCCTGTCATTTTGGTTGTAAATATTCATGTTTACATGAAAATTCACTGAGTTATGAACTTGATTTCTATCTCTTGGTTTTTATATAAAAGCTACACTGAGTGGAAAGAAATTGCTAGAATCAACCGAAATTTTGGACCAAATTTTCGTTATTCAATGAATGTGGTGAATGCTTATTGTTAGGAGATCGGAAGACATGATCATGAATTGTGATAAACTAATCAGATTGTACGCAACTGATTCGAGTTATTTCCCCCATTGGTCTATCTTGTTTGAAGAAACTTCCAATTTACTTTAATCTTCTACGTCTTCACCGCATCCCCCTAGAAAAAGTTTATGGCAGGAATTTTGTTTATTTCAGAAATTGATTCTATTTTTTCGTCCAGTGAAATGTAGATCATTGCAAACACGGGTCGAGCATAGTTATTTATATTGAGAAAAGCGGGGATTTTTTTTTGAGAGATCACCAAACTTTTTCAAGTGAACCAGACCGTATGATCCTCAGCTAAACATATACCTTACTTTATCTGGCAGCAGCTGAATTGCATCAAAAGTAGTTTCTCAGTTTAAAAATGGAGTAAATCGAAATGCAAATCTGTGAGTTCATTTGACAGTAGGGATGGGCGATGTTTTAGGATATATCGATTATCGAAGAATAGATGTTTTTTTTTAAACATCTATACTATGAATTAATTTGTCTGCAAATAATGATTATAAAAAAATGGATATTCTTCCTCATTAAACAGGAAAAAAAGAGAATTAAGTATCTAGCATTATCAAGAAATAAAAATGACTACGTAGCTACAATGTGCCTCGAGTACATCTAGCAAACTTCCATCGGTGGAAAAATAATATTTCTTTTGCCATAGATCCTATACAATATTTCAAACAGGTCATCGGCATTTTTTCAGAGCTAATACGAAATATCGATAATGCGCGATTTGGAAACGAGACCCATATTTAATACCATCGATGCATTGCTATTCCGTAGAATAAACATTACTTTTATGCATTCCCTCCTTTTTCGATCATTCTTCGTGTGCTTCGAAAAATTCGGTTCGATCAGACAAAAAATATTATTGTTGTACCTGATTGATCAGCACAAGCCTGGTTCCCTATTCACATGTCAATGACAATCTTCACTGCTATGTATTTAAAATCTAGTATTAATGTACTTGACTTTGCGATAGGACACTACACCGTCTTTGGAGAAAACTTACCCTGGTGACTGGCATCTTATGAGGGAATCATACGAGAAAAACGAGATTTCTGAACAATCTGCCGAGGGAATGTTGACATCACTGAGTAAATCCACAATAAAACAATTTGGAAGTAGATGGAAAAAATAGTGGTTTTTCTGCAAAAAAAAAGCGGGAAAATTCTATTTGAAGTCTTTCTAAAGAGGTATCAAATATCTTGATAGAATAAAATAATGAAGAAAAGAAAAGCAAAATATGGTACGCTGAATTCTCACTGCCCCTCGTTGGGGATCATATACCGTCCAGGTCTTGCAGAAGAGTAATGCCAAAGAGACCCCCACGTTCTTAGTGCGACCACCCACGGGGCCCACAGGTGCCTTGGAACATTTGGGTACATTGGGTGAGTATGGGTCACTTTCTCTAAAAGATCTGTCTACAAAACTTGTCATAGTAGTTACTGGACATGGTAGAGATGACTTTACCCGTGATTAACATTAACAATAGCACTGACTTGGTTTCGAGATTTGAAGTTGAGATTCTTAACGAAATAAAAATTTCAGGTTCAGATGCACAACAACCCTTGTTAAGACTCTAGTTATAAAAACAACAAATTCATATGCCCACCGTCAACTCCCAGGTAGAAATTTCAACTTGCATTTGGCTAGCTGCTAGGTTGCGGGCTTAGTCACAATCCAACAGCTAGGTAGCCGTGTTAGTCATTCACTACACGAATCAGCTACTGCTGAATAGCGCGGTGGATGGGTTGCGCGGCAACATTTCTGTGCATGGTTCCGTGCATCTACATGCGACCTTGCTGTAGTAGACTCCTGCACTGCCGCATAAACTTTTATATTGGTATGGATATATTCGAATTAAGGATGCAAAGTGTGCATACAATTGCAATGTAATGTAATATAATTTTATTTCTGCTTTTAAGGTACATAGCCCCATTGCATAAGGGGGAGAGTGATACATAGTATATAACATAGAGTAAGCAATATAATCATATATCAGATAGATAAAAGTTTTGTAAGATCGTACAGTGTTGAAAAAGAGCTGCTAGTAAGAGCGTGAAGCAAAGATAAATAATATTAAAAATTGAACAAAAATGCCAAAAGTGCAAAAGCTCATTGATAAACATGTCGTTGATAAATATATTGATAAACATGTCGAGCGCTGTGAAACATTTTGTAGGTCGATCTTCCGGCTGGCAGTTCGACATTTACAAAAAAAGTTGTATAAATTTGTTGTTTCAGCAAAATTAGCATTAAATAAGATAGAGCTATGTGTTCGATTAACAAAGTGCGGATAGGTAGCGAAAAGGGAGTTACGAGGTCCCTGGGTCACAGTACAGTGTAGGCAGAAGTGCTCTAAAGTGTCTAGCGCATTTTGATCACAGTAGTTGCACATTTTATTCGGTTTCAATAGAATTCTATTGTTATTGACACAAAAGTAGCTGCTAAAACAGTTCGCTACTCGCAGTTAAGCAATTATTCGTTTAGTATGAAGACTGTGGTTTACTGCTAAGTATACGGCTTTCCAGGGGAGATTTTGAGGAGAGTATGAAGGAACAAGCTGGGAGGAAGAGGAGGCAGCCCATCTAGCAATATCCTCATTCCTGAGGATTTGTTCGTAGCTGTTGAAGATCTCGCAGATTTTGGATGACAGTAAGGGGAGTTCAAATTTCTCCCATAGGGAGCCTTGGGCAGTTTCTTTAAGAAAGATTTTGATTTATGACGCCCAGTTGTATGAATCATCGCAGCAAGGGCTGCGACTCAATTGCACAAGTCTTAAAATGCAAACTTTGAGAAGAACAGAGTTTTTTTGCTTAAGGATCTTAAGCATCCAATCCCACGTTAATTTCATTGTTCTAAATTTTGTATGCAGAATATTCGTTTCCAATCTGAGTGCCCAGTCTGGAGTACAGCTTGGAAGACTAAGAACTTTCTTGAAAAAGCCCAACTGAGCTTTCTCAAGGTCCTCTTTGTGTAGGAGACCCCAGGAAGGGACAGCGTATAATAGCGTAGACGTGGCTAGAGCATTGTGTAAGATGGCATAAGTACTCCAGGAACTGACACTCAGACTGCAGAGACCTTTCAGAGCAGCCCCAGTTGCCATTTTAGCTTTTATAATCGAATGACGAGCGGCTTCATTACAAAGTGCATTACGAGAGAGAGGGATGCCTAAGTATTGATATGATTTGACTACTTCAAGTTCTGATCCTTTATACATTTTAAATTTAGGGAGAAGTTTTTTGTGTCTGCCAGACTTCTTAAAGACCATAATTTTTGTTTTTGTTACATTAATTGCTAGGCCGTTGATGTCACAGTAGTCGGCGAGCACACTGAGTGCTCTTGCTAAGTTGATATGAGAATCGACTAGAATCGCTGTATCATCAGCATATAGTAACACCAGCACATCAGTAATACCATCGATGTTTAAACCAGTGATATTTCTTTTCCTAAAAAAATCTTGAAAGTCTGCAATGCATAGGGTGAATAAAAGAGCACTCAGACTCTCACCTTGTAGAACACGTTCTGTTACATCAAATTTGAGAGAGTATTGGTCATTACACTTTATTTGAACTTTGGCATTATCGTAGAGGGATTTTATTATTCTAATCAGCTTAGAGCTAACCTTCATGTCGTTCAGCTTTGTCCAGAGGCGGTCATGGGCACCGAATCGAATCTACGAGGGAAGTCCACAAATATTGCATAAACCTCACGTTTGGGTAGGCGTAATTGAAGCTGTACTGCAGAGAGTAGCGTGAAAATCGCTTCAGTGCAACCACGACCAACTCGAAAACCAAACTGGGACTGTGGTAGGATATCGTTATCTTCAGCCCGTTTCTCGAGTATCTCCTTTAAGACAAAAGTAAAAAATTTTGTGATATGATTGACTAGCGTGATACCACGCTAATTACCTGGGTCAGACATATCTGTCTTTTTGTAGATCATACTGAGAAGTACACTTGTCCAGGACTCCGGACACGTTTCTGATTTCATGATAGAGTTAAAGAGTTAAATCTAACAAGATTTTACGGCCACTGAAAGGGAGAGCCGAGTAAAACTCATTAGCAATAAAATCAGGGCCAGTAGGTTTGTTATGCTTTAGTTTTCTAAGAATTAGTTCTAGTTCCTCAAAGGTAATTTATTTTTCAAGCTGGGGTAAATAGTTAAGTGTAGGTATAAAAAGAGAGAAGTCTCTAGGCGGGTAAATATTTTTATAAAACTGGTTCTAGCTTTCGATTGACAATTCACAGGTATAATTTCGTTGGGGTTCGATTCTTGTCAGTGCTGCCCAGAAGCTCCCGGAGTCGTTTGCCTTGCAATGCGAATGTAAGACTATTATCACGAACTTTTCTTTTAAATTTAACAGGTTTTTTGTATTCTTTGCGAAGATTCTGAAAAGCGTTGTGGGTGGATTTGCAGTATCTATTATTTCTAAAATTTCTAGAGAATTTGTGTACATACAATTATTAGTTTTATTCAGGTTTAATTAGTATACAAAGAAAAACATTTAAATATTACACTGATAGAAAAATTTAGTTACTATTAACAAGGCTTTATATTACTATTAACTAATGGTAAGCTGGAATACGAAAAAATGAATATTCATTAGTTATGAACTTACAATTCGGTTGAGAACTCAATATGATGCCGAATAAGAGGGTCAAATCTCTCTACTAAACTACTCTTTAAATACTAACAAATACATATTCAAGGAAAACAAACCAATTCAAGCCTCGAGCAAAATCGATTCTTTGCTAGTAAATAAATTCGTAGAGCAGTATAGAGGACATAAAAAACTATAGACTGCATGCTGATCCAATCTTGAGTTTTGAATATGTCTCCAGCTTCATCCGAAGTATTTAGCATACCTTCAAATGCGATTGAGGATTTCTTGTTCCACAAGGCATCAGAATTACTATCTCCATCATTTAATTCCAAATCCTCAGAATCTGCGCTGATATTAGAATTAAGTGGTCCTTCTCGTTCGAAGTCCAAGTTTGATCAGCTTCCTCTGGGACCCACTTATGCCCATCCCAGCCTTTAAATCCTTTTCTCTGACTCGAACATGTCCAGTCATAAGGGCTTTTAAAAAACAAATTTGTGCATATAATTTTCCGGGCACATTGCTGGTACAATTATGATGAAAAATGAATAACGTCATGGAAAATTAAATTCGAATTTTCACGAAAGATCACGGAATGTTGGAGAGAATTTTTTTTTACAACACTGACTAATTTGTCATAAAAAATTTTTCTCCAACATTCCGTGATCTCCCAAACTTAATTAACACCATGGAGATAAACATCATAGATGAAAAATAAAAATTTGCACGGAGAGTGATAATTTTTTATAAGAATTTCCATACAAAGACTGAAGTAATTCACAATTATCATCGTAAGCGAAATAGATAATCATCGATTGGGATCATTAAAATTCACTAATGATTCCATAACATACCCTATAAGACAGGACATGAATTTAGGTATCTCTATAATAGTTCTATCAAAGTGATCAAAAATATAAAATAATTTTCTCTATTTTCTGAACCAATACTTTTGAAATTATGCAACTTTGCAGTATTTTTTTTTGTAGATAAAAGTCTACAGATGTTGATTTTTCGATGCAAATTATTCTGTTCGGATTTTTTAGTTGAGAATTTCTGGACATGGATTTTCAGAGTTTTTCTTATTGGATTTTATTATGAGAGATCCACAAAGATACAGCAGGAAACTGCGAAAATTTATATTCATGAATTTAGAGGAAAATCGAAATCTATTGATTTTTCACAATCGAAACATGATACGACAAAGTAGCATAATCTCGAACAAAATTAGTGCAAAGAAACCAATTGAATTTCGGCAGAACTTCCAGGGGAATTTTTATGGAGTTCTAATAGAATTTCTATAGAAGTTCTTAGAGAGAGCGGTAAGTTCTTCCACGGAATTTTTTCACATATAATTGTCTATATTATTCAATATCTATTGTGATGAAAATTTTTCATTACCTTCACATCCACCTCAATTTGACTTGCTCGGTTCCGATTGTTTAATGCAGGGCTCGATCGATACAGTCTAAGATTCCCAATCATTCTTGAAGGAGTAATCTGCTTGTGATAATATTTCGGGAGATTGTTGGAGCAGTACTGGAGTTGGTGTCATCTGGACCAATGCGCAAAATTCTAATTTTATATTTTCTTTCATTGAGAATTGAAAGTTAATGGGTAGACTATTTTTATACTTGAGAAACCCGTAAGATACTATTCTCTGCATATCATTGGTAGAATAATTGATACACCACTGAGCAGAGAAGATATTTTGACAATCGGATAGAAGGAAGAGAAAACTCGGAATGAAGAACCCTATTGAGAGGTTACTTGATATTACTAGACTATTTTCAATGGATATTTAGGTACTATTATTGAAAAATTCAGAGTACTTACTGTGGTTGATATTCCATATATTCCTGATATGAACACCACATGATGAAAAAACTCCCAGATCTCAAACATGATTCCATGAAAATAGGAAAATAGACGCTCTCAAAATAGGAACATACTGTTAACCCTAACGCTTGTTCGGACCTCTCCGTACCCCAACATGACACGATCTTTGCCGAAGGACAGACATCGAACGATTGACGGATTTATTTGAAAAATATCGAATTAAAACATCCAAAAATATTGTTCTTTGGTTAAGTCTGAACGAAGATTTAAACCATTCAACAGCATCACAGTACCCTACTTTTCGACATGTTGTGTTAGTGTGCGTGCGCAGTCAGGCCTCTTATGGCGCACTAATGCATCGAATGGGCCCCCTACTTCTCTCACACCAATACAGTTCATGCGTTATGTTATGGAAAAAGTTAATTTGGGAAAACATCAAAACTCAATTATTAATTAGTAATTTTTTAAATCCTATTGGATTATTGAAAACCCTGTTAATTGAGATTTTTGTTAAGTGAGATTTTTCTATAGGGAGTCCTCGACATCCATTTTTCACTTTATTTTTCCACTTCAACATCTGACATATGACAATTTACGGTGACGAATTTGAAAGAATGACCGGTAGAATAATTAATAGACATTTTTCTCTCCTATTGAAAAAATCAAACAGAAATTTCAGACATTAGAGTGAAGACATTGCTATATAAAATATGTCATTGCAATAAGTTGTATGTAAAAATCAAATTCTATTTATTTTTCGCTATAAAATATTTCATGTTGTAAATTCAATCACTAAATAAATAATAATAATAATATTGATTAATATTTTATCATTTCAAAAGAATATCAATTAATATACATATTCATGTTTTTCATTAAGTTATTCCATCATTCATTCATTGATATGTTATTATTATTATTTATTTAATTTACCTTGTTTTGACAATAGAAAGAACACGGAATTTCTACAGCAAAAAAAAATATATTGAAAAAATTCTCTAAGCCACATTCTCACAGTGAGCATGTAATGTCATCTCGCTATAATTCCGTTTACCGACGCTTATGTCAAGACAGCAATGTTCGACAATGGCTGGGAAGCTATAGCCTTACGGCTGCATCTGAAAAAGAACGTGACGTAGACATTTCGCTGCATTGTTGCAACGCGCTGAAATGTACAGTTAGATGCATGGATTTCGTAGGCTGGGCTGAGACACAGTAGCGGCAACTCAGTAAGGCGGCAAAAATGCATAACATTGCAATGCAGCCTAGCAGCTGGATTCATCCTTGCACGTGCAAGAAATTTTTCTACCTGGCCTCTCACATGTTATATAAAAGCAATAAAAATACTAAAACGAGACCAACAATGACTTTTTATCTCGCATCGAAACTCATATAATATCTTAAATTCTTTCACGTTGAGTCCTCGGATAAAACAAATTCTTGACGATAGTGGCATTGATATTGTTAAATTTTCAACATATAGCACATGGCATGCCACCACTTCGGCAACTAAACAAGAAGATGTTTGCATTGATATGATTAAAAAGACTGCAGGTTGAACAGAAAAATCCAAAATCTTCACCAAGTTTTATAATAGAGAACTGGGTCAAGATAACCCAGTTTTCTATGGCCATCTTGGAATGGAAAAATACGGATAATTGTCTGTCATAATTCTATTCCAGTGTAAGTTGCATTATAATATCAATGAAAGTGCTTTTTGCCATGATATCTGTAACCGTTCTCTGAAAGTCTACATACTTGATCTCGAAGGAAAGGGTACGGATACTCTTGTATGGTTCAACGAACTTGTAAGTGAAGTTCAATCATAATTATATTCGCGGCTTTTTCGAGAAATTGTTAGGCTCCCGAGCGGTTTGGGTGCGGTTAATCATTGGAATAATACACACGCAATAATTACTAAATAATATCCTTTTATTTTTAATCTCATTCCGCGAAATTAAAATCAAATGCATTCATTCCGATTTGGAGGTATCAGATGAATGCTGATAGTAACTATCGTCAAGTTACCGGCCGAGAAACAATGGTCTCTCGAGGATTTATTTCGTCGAGAGGCCATAACGTCTTGGCCGTTAACTCATATCGGCATGGTGTAATGATAACTCCATGCAAATGAGCCCAGTGAAAACTGTTGATACAGTTTTACTGGCTTACTTGTTCTTGCGAATATCTGTGTCTTTTAATACACGAATATTCTGATTTTCATTTATATTTCTTTATTTTAAGTTTCGATTCTGAAATATGTGCCCATATTTCAGAACGAGTTGAGAAATTATGCTTCACTTTTTGGGGCATAACATCCGCCTTCATCAGGGAAGAATATTGACATTCTTTGAAATTTTCTGCAATTTTCACAATTAATCCGATAATTTTCTACATTTACAATTCAGTAATCAATCAAATAATGGCATAATTATCTTTATACAAATTACACCACGAATTTAATTAAAGTTATTTTCAATCGTATTTTTTTAAAAGTACTTGGCCGACGTTCTTGCCGAGATACCCATAATTATTTCCAATGGATCCCGACAACCAATGGTACCTCCAGTCCCTTCAGTTTCTTTATGTTTCCAACTTAATTTCAATTGGACATCGCTCAAGTTTTGTTTCACTTGATCTAATCGCAGTGCGATGTCACCATCCAATGTTAGGTTTAGTTTCGGTTGAAAATGAAAGTTCAATTCCATTCCGGATGACTTCCGGCCTATAATGCTGATGTCTGCAGTGACCAGTTCACAGAACGTCTCGCGTTTCCTTATCTCCGTATACGATAGTAATACCCTCTGTCTCAGAAACAACGTAGAACCATGGGTTGTTTTTCTGCATTTTAAGAGGCTACATACAGCTCGTTGGGTTGAAAAAATCGATTTTGGAAAAATCATCTCATTCGATTGTGTCACTCTTAAAAAGTATTTCTTTGAAAATTTCATTCAAAAATTCCCACTACAAACGAAGTTACACCTATTACTAGCTAGCCCGGTCAGTTTGACCTGACTGGCAGGTGAATTGTTGCATATACCCACTACTCTCCCACGGCTTTCGGTAGTCGACCTTTCATTGTGGTCGAATGTCCTGGAAAGAAAAACCTGAAGTCGATTTTTACGGCCTCGGAATAGATGAAGATCTGTAAATATTGTGATGCATTACTTTCACCTATAATATTAGGTGTATAACTTAATTCTCGGCCGCTAGATTAAGTTGATTAGAACACCTATTTCAATTTAAAAAATTTCCCGTAATAAAGGGCATCTTGAAGCGCCATCTGTGACCTATCAAACCACTCAAGTCTGATTGTGATCCGATTAACACAACCTCAAAAAAACAAAGTAAATGAAAATGTCGTTCGATAAGCAGCACTTAAAGCACTCCCTTTTTTTTTACTTTCCAACTTGGAAAAACTGCTGCAGAAGCACAAGAAATGATTAGTTCGGCCTTGGGAGAGAGTGCTGTATCTTGCACATGCAAAAAGGTGGTTAAAAAAATTTCGGGATGGAAATTTTGATCTCCAGGATGAAGAACGTCCTGGGCAACCAAAAAAAGTTGAGGACGAGAAGTTGGATAACCTACTAAATGAAAATCCCTGTCAAACACAACAGGGGTTTGCTGATACTCTCGGAGTGACTCAGTCAGCTATTTCGAGACGTTTAAAAAGAATTGGGAGGATACAGAAGGAAGGTCGTTAGGTACCCCATCATCTTACCTCAGAAAACAAAAGTCGACGCTGTGAATTTGCCATGTGCCTATTGACCAGATTCAAACAAAAAGACTTGTTGTGTAACATTGTGACTGGGGATGAAAAATGGAACTTTTACGACAATCCTAAGAGGCAAAAGTTGTGGGTTTATCCGGGGGAGCCGTCAACGAGTACTGCAAAGCCGAAACATTCACGGGAAAGAATGGTTGTTGTGTATTTGGTGGGATTCCAAAGGTGTAATCTATTATGAGATACTCGAACAGGGGGAAACCGTTACTGTCACGCGTCATTAGTACCAACTGGTGAAATTGAATGATGCTTTCGAGGAAAAAAGACCTTTTACTGCTAATGGTACGCAGTAAGTGATTGTGCTGCAGGACAATGGACGGCCACACACAGCAAAGGAAACCCTGAAAGTTATTTCCAAGTCGGGCTCGGAAATTCTCTCACATGCGGTGTTATCTCCAGCCCTTGCACCTTCTGATTATTACCTATTTCGGACGCTACAGTATCATCTAGTGAATACTCAATTTCGATCTCCTGACAAAGTCCGGCAGAACATTGATGACTTCATCCAGTCAAAACCACCATCTTTCTCTAGAGCCGGAATTCGTTAATTGCCCGATAGATTGGGAGAAATGCGTGCAAAATGACGGTGATTATTTTCAAGATTAGATCTGTATTCATTTTTTTATAAATAAATGTCAAATTATTTCGAAAAAAGGCCGAGAATTAAGTCATATACCTAATAGTTTTCAAATCTTTCAAAAGAGTCCGACTGATAGACGCGGAGTCCAACTCTCTGTCGCCCTCGGGTGTCGCATAGTGGAGGAACTTTGAACGTCATTTCCCGAAACTTACATTTTAGAAAACGGTGCCATCAGTTTCTGGAATACCAATGAACCGATTTTGCAAAAATTTAAGAGTGGAATTTTGTACTATTCTCTTGTATATAACGTTCAATTTTTTTCCGTATGACGTTTTTTAACATTTTTTATGGCGGAAAAGTATTCTAACTTCACTCGTGAAATGAAGAAATTCTGTACTTCATATCTTTTGTGAAAATTGTTGATAATTTTTGAGCGTCGGTTAAAAGTTCAATCCAACTACCCTCTTAAAGTCATTAATAATGATTTTTATTTCAAGACAAATGACCAAACAAATTTTGATGGCACCGTGCAAGGTATCGGCAAGAAACCGACTCTACTCAATACCATTCAATATGCGAAGGCCTTAGAAAATTTCACTTTTTTCTCTTTTGTAAATATTCTTTTAAACAGGCTCTTCACATAACAACTGATATTTTTAAGGTTAATTAACAAATGACATGAAGAAAAAATTATTGAAAATACCCCTTGGTTGGCGCTTGCCAGCTGTATATAGCCCCTTAATCCACAACAGGCGTTTTAGCTGCAGATTCTCAACTGTGCAAATCTCCGGCATTTTTCCTGGATTTAAGTACATGTACTCTGCAAGGGCTTGAGTCTCGTGTCATTTGTACCGGTAAGGATTCGCTGCACAAAT